TAGAGATGGTACTCTGCAGAAAACAGGACATACTGGTTCGAAAGTGTTGCCTTGTTTTAATACCAAGAGAGGATTTAACTATTCCTGTTTGTTTTCATGTTTGCTTTTCAGCATTTAATTACCTGTGATACTTCCTCCTTTTCTTTTGCATACATATTTTATCTCTAGCAATGAAGAGAGATGATGGTTCTTAAGTAGCTAACAGAAAAATAGAGGTGTGTGTTGGATCTTATATATTAAATAGTGCTATTGTTGAGCCTGGCAATTTCATACTTAACCTGATCTTCTATCTCATGCACCTATCTATTGACTTCCATATAAAACATCTTGCTTTGAGATTCTCAAGGTAAGTTGTCTACTGATCTTAGACTTATGAAATCTCATTGTTGGGGGAAAAATCCGTTTTAACATGGCTTTAAATATCCTGCATTGCTTACAATACAGAAGGAGATGTACCTGGATAGCCTGTATGTACCTAGAGCATTGCATCTCCCAAGGTTGCTTATCCATTGTATATGGGCTTTTCTCATGTATTTTATTCAGCCAGAATGGATTTGGTGAAACGTCCTTTCATGCCCAGTTGTGTGGGTCAGGCCCTCTGTATTCTTCCAGCAAAATGCTGATCTGCTTATCAAACATTTTTCTACTGGGATATAATGACAACCATAGTGAAAGAGAAGGATTGAAGAGCAGGAGTCTTAACTTCCATGGATTTCAGACTTTCTGTTGACTCATACAGTTGGTAGATTTCTAATGAAAACAACAAATGAAACCAACAGAAGATTCCTGTCTGAGCCAACTGAAGTTCTAAGTCAACAGAAGCTCTCATCTATGAAATGTGTTCTTCAAAGTATTTCTGCTTTTTGTTTTGTAACACTATTTCTGTTTACCACATTCCTCACCCTTTTTTTGATCTGAATACGAAGACTGAAGAATAAAGCTTCAAGGGTGATGTTAGTGGTGGTATTTTTAATTTGATGGCATGAAAAAGATTTAAAATGCTCAGCACTGGAACCAAGTGAGTAGTGCTCACACAATGTCCCAAAGATGAGCACAGTGTCCCTAGCATAAGGATCCAAGTCAGGGTTTGGGTCAGACTCAAAAGCCAGTGGTGCAGAGCAAATGTAACTATCCAACAGGGAATCTGGGTGATGAAGGTTGTAGCAGCTCTTGCATTATTATAATCTGAACAGTACTTTGGGCTGATTGCACGTGAGAATACAGCAAGTGTTTCTGATGCCCAATTCATGTTAAATAGATGAAATTGTTCATGCTAGAGCTGCTTTTGTCTCACAAAGGAGACATTGCAAAATGCAGTTCCAAGCTCCATAGCTGCTGTTAATTGTTTCAAAGTTAACTCCAGTCTTTCTAAAATTCAACTGCTCTTTGTCTCTTACAGAGCTATATCCATGGAAGCAGCCAAGCCCAGTTTGTTGCAGAAACACACATTGTTCTTCTGTTCAGTATCCTTACTGAGACACATGTTGTTGGTGACAATTCTTCTGTTAGCTTATGCTGCTGCCTCTTCTATGAGTGTGTTTTGTTGTGGTTCCTATCTCTCTGCTAATGCTGGTGCAGAAGCTTGTAGAGACTGCTGACAACTACGGCTTTCTAATGACTGATCTTTGAGTACAAGAATATTTAGTGCTATCACACCACCTTCTTCCCTTCTCAGTGACCAAACTGGATGGGTTCTTGTGGAATCATAAGGCTCTTCAGGATAGCCCCTTTTTCTTTACACATTTTGTCTTTTCAGTCTCACTTAATTCTCTCTTTAGTATTGAATTATTTCCTCTATTACTGATGTTTTTCTTTTATTTCTTGGCTTACCTTCTTTGCCTTTAACCTTAGCTCTTAGTTCATGCTAACAAGTCTGGATTTTTTCATGCTGGTATTAAGCCATCAAGAGAGGTAAGCAGAATCTTGTTGGTTTAAGTTTTTTCTTTTCTCATTTGTATAAAGATGTTTCTTTAGAGTGTGCATTATCTTTTCTGCTCATACATGCATGTGTTTATCTGTCATCTGTGACTTGAGTCTTCCCTGAATCAAGCTCTTCTTGTTTTGTCACTCGTACCAGCCTGTGCCTTATTTTATTTCTACTAGGGAATAAGTCTTACTTAATACTGTATTTCCCTTGCAGTTCCACTGTCCCAAATTGTCTACATTTTTATGATACACAGATCTACTTAGCAGCATGCTTACCAGGAGCACGAGTGAGTTTCTCTCTTAAACTGTGTGATTCAAAACTATTATAAGTACTTGTCCTCTTCAGTACTCTATAGTGGCTAACAAGTTTCTGTTGTAACAGTGAGGTGCTTAGTAACTGAGTGGCTTCACCTTTCTCCCTCTTCTCTTAAATCTTTTCAAAATCCCAGTTTCACCAAGAGATACATCTGTAGTTTTTTTTCCTTTTTGTAATTCAGTGACATAAAGTGGACAATATTAAATATGCTGTTAGAGGTTAAAAAAGCTTTCAACTCTGCGTATTCCATATCAAATACTTATTTAATACTGAAAAATTCAATTTAGTAAGAGACTTCCAGTCTTTTTTCTTGCTACTGTTGTACTTCTGATGCATTCAGTTGAATGTAACAATTTTTTATTGATGCCTGTTTGCATGAACACTGTAACATCATGGAGCAGATTTGCCATTTTGCTAAAGACATTTAAAACAGCAGAAGTTAGCAAGGTTCCTGTTAATTGCTTTTCTCTTGGTTCTTTTGCTGAGTACAAACTGCGTCTGAAACTGAAAGATGTCATCTCCTTCAGCCCCTCTTGGCATCAATAAGTAATTCTCATTTCAGGAGAGGAATTGAGGCTGAAACTTCTCTAGTTTTGTTATTTTCTTGTTTGTTTTTCTTTCTTAACGATTCATTTGTGGCAAATGCCAGGACTTTTTTTGTCTGCGCTGCCTTAATTTTACATAATTTTAATGATTTCTGTTAATTGAAGCTTTAGGACTCAAGTCTTGCTATTTGAAAGATACCTGTTAGATCAAAATACTCATTTTATTATTTCTGTTAGTTGAGCTAAAATGCAGTTTATAAATTCCTTTTGGGAGTGGAGTAAAACAATAGTAGGAGTGGACTTACCTCCCTGAAGGAAGAAGTCCTTTTTCATTACAGGCTGCAATAGTGAAAGCATGTTCTTAAACTTTGCTTTGAGACCTACTATATATTCTGGTTTATGCTTCAAACTTTGTATTTATTTTCTCTTGGATTTTGATGATTATGAGCAACTTCAGTTTGCTTTTTTTAGCCCTAGGTTTGTTGATTAGACCAGGAAGCCTGTGATTTTTTCAAACTTAGGAAATTAGGAATGCAAGTATTGTATGAAGTCCTGTGTATTTTGTTGATTCAGCCTTAAACAGTGTCCACAGATGGTGGTGTTACTTTAGGAATGGTTCTCCTCCATGAAGCTGCTACTTCTGACATGGATGTGGGGAAGAGAAAGAGTAAGTACTAATGTTTCTCTCTCCATCTAGAGGAGTCACATTATATAAAAATCAGGGTATTAACAGAAATGCTTTTATGCTGTTTTTTTTTTTAATTGTGAATATTGGTCAATTTTAATTCTTACTATTTTCTGTTAGTTTCAGACAAATGATGATATCCAGGGTTTCTGTGGCCTTTTCAACACTGCAATTGGTTGCATAATAGTAGTAGAATAAGTTTCTATTTCACAATTGGTTATTTTCTTCAAGGAAGAATTAAAGAAGGGGAAAAAACGACTCAAACTTTAATGTTATTGATAACTAAAGAATAAGAGTAGAGTATTTCTGGTGGCCTAATGTAATACTGGGGTAATCTGTTAAAATAAAAACAAGTCAACTTAAGTTGCTTGCTATAAAAAAAAAAAAAAGAACAACCTCCAATAAATCATCATGAAACAAAATACTCTTGAATACATCAGACAATAACTTGTTATGTATTTCGTTATTTTGTGTGCCCAGGAGAAGACAGCTCCAATTTTCCTCTCTGCCCTGTTTTATGGCCACGTTAATCTCATTTTTTTTGACTTTGCTTCAGTTAAGAAAAAATAAACTCTATGTTAGGTTCTATATGTCTTGTGTGTTATTTGAGTCACAGTGTATAGATCTGTCTTTTTTTCTCCTCTGCTATTAATGAGGGGTATTTCAGGATAAATTGCATGCAGATCCCATGCTAGTCTTAGTTGAGATACTCAAGAACTGTTTTTGATGTGTCCCAATTCCTCTCATGGGTCACAACAGCAGCAAAACCAACACCAGTTTCAGTTTTTGGATATTACTAGTGTATGTGGACCTCTGGTGGGGATGAAGTGAAACAGACTTCTGCTTTGCTCTTGGACTGCATGCACGTGTGCTGACTTGTGTCCTTGCCTTGACAGGGAAGGATGCTCTTGTATGCTTTTCACCTTTCAGTCATTTCAGCAGCTTTTGGATGTGCTTAGCAAAGAGCAAGACAGGCAGATGTAAAGATGCTTTGGGCCATTTTGTTAGCAAGGGAGAGAAGGGGCTTATCATCTCAGTGGTATAAAATGGGCTTAAAGTATTTGAAAGAAAACTGATGTCAGTACAGCTCTTCTAAGTGGCTATAATAAAGGTTTAATCTGACCAAACTTGTAAATACTGCAGAATATTTCTGGAACTGTGATATTTTTGGAGAGAGCTGTCACTTAACTATAGTCTTATTCTGCATCTCTTGCAGTCATGTGCATTGCTGGTATTGGCTTGGTGGTGTTCTTTTTCAGTTGGCTGCTATCTGTCTTCAGGTCAAAATACCATGGATATCCATACAGGTACTGCTTTTCTGCTGCTTCAGTCACTCTTTGTGTGCATTGTGGTACAGCTACGTCACCAGAGGTGGTTATGGAGAAAGTGGAGTAAATACAAATGAAGGCCTTGGGGATGGTAACAGAAATTTTACTTGAACTGTGTACTTATGAATGAATCTGTTCCTGTGGACTGGTATTTGTTTGTCTCTTAATGTTAATATAAAACAGAACAGAGAAAGAAGCTCAATATTTTTTTTCTCTCCCCTGAAATCTAACTTGGTGAGAAATATTTTGAAATAAATGCTGCTTTTGCTGCTCAGAGTAGCAATGTTGGCTAATAGTGCAGAAATACAGCATTTGGTGGATACTACTCTTTTTCTGGCCAAAGCACAGATTATGCTGCATTGCTTTTTATGCTGTTATGTATTTATAAAATATTTCTATTCTCATGTTGGTATCTCAGCCAACTTATATTGCAGTGAGTGTATCTTTACTACATTTCCTCAGTACTCATACGTTCTGATAATTAGTTCTTATCGTTGGGAACAGGGAATGTGACTGATCATTTAAAGCTGCAAATATTTCAGGATTGCTTCTATTAAGAATCTAGCACTCTGTTGAGTGGTTAATTTAGAATTCATTTTTCTGTATTGATGGATGCAGTTGCCTTGTTTCATGTATTTTGAAGGAATAAATACATATTGAGGGGCCAGCTTCTAACCATCTTCCCTCCTGTGAAGTTTTTAATGTGTCTAGAAGGCTAATCCTGATTTGCATTGGCAAATAGATGGTGTTCTCTCTGTGAGAAGCCATAGTGATGCGTTACTATGTCTATTAACAGAGAGAGAGCATCAGTGGGTTCCTAGAATTCTGTAGTACATGTGGACGCTGGAGGTTTATTTTTTCAAGATTTCTGTTAATTTATAACTACCACCAATTACTCCTTACACGAACAGTTGATTAGTCTCACTGTGATTAAGAGTAATATTTCTGGCTCCCAATCTGTAGCACCATGCCTCTGACAGATCCTCACTCAGCTTTTTCACAAATTGTGAAGATATCTGCCTTACTTATCCTGCTTAAAAGTTCATAGTGATGGTCATGACCCGAGGTGGTGGGGGTATGCCTTTGTCTTCAGCAGGAGGTGGGAGTTATGGGATAGAGTGCAAAAGAAGTGCCTCTTCTGGATTAGATTTAAACAATGAGGCAGTTGTTAAAATCAGAGTCATCCTCATTATCTGTTGGCAGGATAAGTATGTATTTAGTGATCTTGCTTTCTGAGACTGGAATTGTATGATTTTTGCTGTAGTAAAGACACAGGTCTGAAGATAACTTTGAATGCCTGAAATTATTGGCTCTTATCATGACTGAAATTCAAGGGCAGCTGCTGCTCTAACTCACTGTGAAATGTCTTGTGCTTCTTGCCAAACAGTTCTTAGTGAAGCATATACAGTCATGCTGTGAGAAGTTAGCCAGTGCTTTGCTGCTCCTGAAATTCTGCTCAAAAAGCCTCTTGTACTTTTCAGTATTCTTCCACCAACTTCTCAAAAATATCCATAACCTGTGAATTACAGAATCCTGCTAACCCACTGTTGTGTTCTTTCTACACCCACAGGCTGGGTAACCCTTTAGGTCATGGCAGTAGTCAGTTCTTTCATTTTTGTAAATGTCTCTATAATAAAATGTGATACAGATACTTTTCTAACACCAAAAGATACCCGAATTTCTTGTTGAATAACTGATTGCCTTTCATTCTGTTCTTTGCAGTGGTCTAATGTGCTTCTGCTAAGTTTGGAGCAAGTATGATATTGCTGCTCTGGCTTTGCTTGAGGGGTACTTGAAGTCCTGCTTTTAAGTAACTTTCTCCACAGCTAATTACCCCTTAGTTTTTCATTCTGATTTTCTGAGAATATGTGGAAAGCTAAATAGGCTGTTGCAGGCCTTTGCTTTTTATAAAATTAATGAATGTTTGCTTTTCTCTTTATTCTTGCAGTTTCCTAATGAGTTAAAGGATTCCAGAATCTGTGACACCAGGAGGGTGGTGACTACGAAACTGCGTGATAGAATGGAAGAACTAAAGATGTGTGGTTCATGCTACCTCTCTTTACACTGAATGAGATAGTTAAACACTGAACCAAAGATGACATGCAGTGCCTTAAATATAACAAGCAATGTGCATTGAAGGACAGAGTATTAAGATGCAACCTCTCTCACAAGCTTTACATCTTCTGATGCAACTTTAATGGAAGGCAAAACTTTGCATTTCGAATTACTGTGTTTCCTTAGACTAACAGAAATGGTACTTTGAATTCTATTGGATAATCTATTTTGCATGTCTTTTTCCCTCAGATTCTTCTTGCTCATCCTTGTAGGTGACAGTAGCTTCTCTGTTGTACCTTTGCATGGTTGAGGAAGCTTCATGACCTGCATATCACTTCCTTTAGTCTGTGACCCTTGCAGCGTACTGCAGATTCCATTTCAAGATGTGCAAACCTAAAGGTGTGTGTCTATTTTGAGAAGAGCATTTAACTACAGTATGATGCAAGAGATTGCTTCACAGACGAAGGAAGACTTTATAACGGGTAGTAGTGGCTCAAATGGTAAAATTTCAGTCAACATTGTACAGAGTGACCTACTAATCAATTTTATAGTTGATATTCAGGACTGAAAAAAAATAATCAAAAACTTAGTGTATTTCTTCTTCTCCCTAGTAAATAGGCAAAATTTATGGTAAACTTTGCTGTCCATAATTTGATCAAAGTCCCTGTTTGCTATAGTGCAACTCATTTAATTGTTAAAAACTTCATTGTCAAATAATGAAACTACATCAGTTGATTTGTAAGTATTGGTTCACTAAAAAGCAGTATCTCGGTGATCAGCAATTCCCTTCCAAAAATAAGAAAACCTGGAAAGGTAATTAAACGAGTAACTAATCTGTTGCATGAATTACAAGTTGCTAAATGGCCTTAAAGTTACTGCTCAGCATCTGCTGTCAGATTGCTGGTCGCAATCTAAGTTCTCACATTCATTACTTTCTCCAAATTATTTTCAGCCTTATGTCCTTGGAAGGATATGGGAGCGGGCTGAGATATCTAACCCCAGATGTTGTTACTCTAGGAAAGCTTTCTTAGCCTTGCAATTAAATGGATGTGCTTTTTGCTCTTTTATCTCACAAAGATGCTTTTTCTTAAGGATTTTTTAGTTGAAGACCTTGTGCCTCAGCCCACGCTGTTTTGTAATTCAGCACCTGCACTACAGGAAATGTTTGTGGCCTAATTCAGCAGTACTGCCTTTTGTAGACTATGATGGCCTTGGTGGTTAATAGTCAGAGGAAAGTATGAGACTGGCTTCTGCTTCTGCCTGTCTCTAAGGGTTACAGGATGCGGATACTTTGGATTTAAGCTCAAAAAGAGCTTTATCATTCAGAGTAGAATGTTGTTATTATGCAATTTTGCTACATTAACACATCTCAAGTGCCTTACCTTTTCTAACTTAGTTGTTTGATATTTCAACTTGTTGGTGAGATGCATTTAAAAAAAAAACCATACAGAATGAGAAGTTTTAGTGGATTGAGTAGTGGCTGGATTTTAGACAACTTTCAATAAATTTTTTTTAATCCACACTCCTGTGTCTCTCAAACTTTCAGACTGAAAGAAGATATAACAAACCTATTTTTTTCCACTATTGCTTCAGTGTATTAATACGTGTATATAGTAAAAACCTGAGCATGGTTGAGTAGGTGGGATTAATAGTGTATGTGTGTTTATGCAGGAAATCACAACCTGAAGCATCACTGCTGGAGGTCCTCTCCTGTAGCCAACTAACAGCACAAGGGTTGCATGTTTTTATTTGTACCTCAGGAAAGCTGTCAAAGACAGGACTTGGCTTCCTGCAGTCTTTGGCAGATGGTGTTCCTGAATGTGGAGTCCAGTGAGCACTACAGTTACAGACTTTAAAAACTTATTTTCCTGCCCTGTTGGTATTTTAAGAAAAGAAGGCTTCCAGCAACATCTGAGTCCAGCAACATCTGAGATTGGTTGTGCTTCAGTTGTTAACAGTGCAACAAAAGTGATACGCAATCTCGTTCTGAAATAATGTTTTCTATTCAAGCTTTCAGATTTTTTAAATGTTGTGCTTATTGTATTGTCTCTTTCAAAAGTTGTGTTGGTGGATGGTCGGGACGTGTTGGCCTTGTATTTAAGGTGATAAACTTTTGAGAGGTTTCTTTTCTTTCCATGTTGGCACATGGAATTAAAATAATGCTTGTTGTCTTCCTCCCCCCAGTTTTTCTGCTCTCTAGGCAGAAAATGAAGCACATGGAGAAAGGATGAAGTGTGATCATTGAGTAGAAGATTGAGTGCTTCCACAGACCTGTAGCAGATCTAGAGAGCATACAGAAAAAACTTATTTGGCTTGTAGAGCAGTTGAGGTAATAGTTAGCTATATGCATCTCTCCTTTCTGGTTAGCATAATGCATTGATCCAGATCCCTTCTGTCTTCTCCAGAGTGAACAAGCCCAGCTCCCTCTGTCTTTCCTTCTAACAGATGCTCCTGTCCATGTTTCCATTTCTTACCATGCTTATCATCTGACAAACAAATGAGTTTCATTGCACTTTATCTGCTCTACTTAAAACCTCAGATCTTGACCATTCCTATAAAATGAATTTAAACAGTGTTGTCTTGTTCTGGTTTAACTGTACTACTTTAATAGTAGTACTTTAACTGTACTACTGTGGAATGGTCTGAAAAAATGTATACATACTTGATATTTCTAGGTCAGGAGCACATACACTTATTAAAACAATTGACAGTTGATAACTATACATGTCTTTAGCCATTTTTTTTTAAAGTAGGCTAATATCTACTTAAAACTAATTACTGCTCTTATGACAGAAATCAGACGATAAGATTCAACTGTAGCCTGTGATTTCTTCTACTAAATGTCTCTGAATCTTTATTCTTTCAAGTATATTGGATCAGCAGTGCCTATTAGACCTTGGGGGAGGTGGTCCTGTGTCGAGGGTGAGCATGACTATAGGTATGCTGGATGTGCAGAATGTTTTTCTAGAGGTGCACACAATATCTATCCATATGTGGATTTTGCTGAGCTCCTGCAACTTGTATTTTGGCAATTTGATGATAGGGTCAGGTTTTGTCTTCAGGAGTAATTGTTGGGAGATTTGTTGCTTTATGTTGCCCGTCCTCACAATATGATTTTTTTCTAATGTGTATGTTCAGTTGTAAGCTGTGAATTCAAGACAAATTTATTTTTTAAAAATACCTCTTGCATTTCCCAAGAATATAGAAATACTACTTTATCTTTTAATTTCATAGTTCTAATGTAGACTCTGCCATAAGGCAGTCTCAATCCCTTGAAAAGAAATGTTCTGTCTTACTTCAATCACTCAATTGAAGTACTAATGTAGAACTAAGAATAGGTGGTGCTTCCAGTTTAATATACCTACTGGGTGGCAACAGATTAATATGGCTTTTTGTATTTATTGATGGAATTTGTTGCAGTCAGAATTAGCACTGATTTATTTTTCTTAACACCTAGATAAAAGCAAGTGATGGTTTGGTCCTTTAGAACTGCAGCTTTGACTGTGAGATTGAATCTAGGAACAAAAGCTATTAATTCAGTTTTTGGCTAGTAATAAAATCCAGTAAATGCAGGGTGCAGTTCTTGGCTAAAAAGCTAAGTTATAAAGCAAATTCTAGACTTGTTTGTAGAATTTATCTGAGATATGTAGGCGTGCATGTTCTGAAGTTTAGAAATGCTACTCGTTTCATTGCAATTGCCTTTTAGAATGAAATACATGCTAAGGAGAAGTTATACTTCAGTTGACAAGGCTTCCACTTAATGTTTCTTTCCTCATTTCGCACGTTCTGGTGGGAACCTCGTGAGTTTATATTTCTGTAGGAAGAAAACCTTAATTTTCAAAGCTGGTTATATTTTAAGAAGTGACTGATTGCCATCTGTTTCTGACTCTACCCCGTGCTGGGCTTGGTGTTGGTGACCCATTCTTCTCTTTTGGCCACGTGGAGAGGTACAAGTGCCGGGCTGCTCCAGGCACTGCAGGTTGGCAGTGTTCTCATGGGAGCACATCGCTGCTTCCCCTCTGAGCAGCGGTCTCTCCTGGTCCTCTGCTGTTCATATGGGTTTTAACATCTGATGGGAACATGGGGGCTGCTGGCAGAAGCAGGGAAAGGCATACCTAGATCTTACATGATGCTGCCAGCAAGGAACGATCACTGGGCTTCTTTGCCTGAAAAATGTTTTCTTTAAAAAAAAAACAAACCAAAAATGTAAATTCTAGCAGTGCTGGGCTTAAGTGAGGCTGTAGTCAGGAGGACAACTCGTGTGCTGCTCAACAAGGTCTAGTTTGTCATACCTTGCTGTCCTGGAATCCCAGCATAGAATCATAGAATGACTTAGGTTGGGAAAGAAGCCCACCCGGCTGCCCTTCCCCTGCTGTGCTCTGAAGAAGGGGTGTGGAGCAGCAGGTGCTGGGCTGAGGCCAAGCGCGGTGTGGCCGCGGCCCTGCGTGCCCTGTCACGACGTTCCTCCTGCGTGGGCACGTGGCTCCCGGGGCCGGGCGCGCCGAGGCGCCATCGGTGGAGCCCCCTGCCGGTCAAACCCGTCAGTGCACTTTGTTTTGAAATGATGTCATGGGACTTGGTGCGTGACGTCAGCCCCTCCCCCCCGCTGATGTAACCCTCTCCCCAGCCAATCGGAGCGGAGGAGGCCGGGACCGTGACGTAAACGACCCTAGCAACAGCCCCCGTCGGAGCGGCCCAATTAGAAAATCGCTGGGGGCGGCAAGGAGCCAATGGGAGTCGGCGAAAGAGGAAGGCGGCAGGAGGCAGGTCTCCCTCATCCTCTCTCCGACAAGATGGCGGCGGCGCTGGCGATGGCGGCAATAACGGCTTTGTCTCCTTTCAGCGCCTGAGCGCGGTCCCGGCCCGACCCGGCCGCACCGAGCGGCGGCAGCGGAGACATGACCGCAGAGCCCATGAGGTACGGCTCGCAGCCCTCAACGGCCGGGGCGTCGGGCGGCGGCCCCCGCCGGCCCCGCCGAGGGGAGGAGGCAGCCGGTGGCGCGCATCGCTCCCGCCGCGTGCGCGGCCGTTGCCGTCGGCCGACCTCGGCGGCGCCACCGCCCGGCTCGGCTCGGCCGGGGCGGGGCCGGGCCGGAGCCCGAGGCGGCGGAGCCGGCGGAGGCCGGGCTGGGGGAGGGGATGGCGGCGGGAGGCCGAGCGGGGAGCGCAGGGGGAGGGGACGGCGGCGGAGGCGGCCGGGCGCGGGCCGGCGGCGGGCGCTCGTTTCGGAGCCCCCGCGCGCGGCTCTCGTCGTCGGGCGGGGAGCGGGGCTGTGCCGCTCCGTCCCGCTCTGCCCCTCGCCCCCTGGCAGCGCCCCGGCCGGTGGGCGCCGCGGCGCCGTGCCCTGCGGCTGTCAGCCCCCGCCCCACGTGTCCGTTCGTAGTACTCTGCCCGCTCGTTCCCGCGCCGCAGGGCCCTTCGCTGGCGCGTCCCGCTCTCGCTGAGGGGCGGCTCCCGCCGCGCCGACGGGGATGAACCGTTCCCGTTCGGCTGTGTAAACTAAATAAGCTGGTATAAACCGAGCCGGTGCCGCCAGGCGCCATGTTAAAGCCTTGATGCGGAGTTGGGCTTGGATGTTTTCGGTTCGTAGTTAGGCTGAACGGTCTGATCAGCGCTGTCAGTCACGCACAAATATTCCACATGCCTGAGGCAGCTCGTAAACAATAAAGCATTGTTTCTGAGCCCTCAAAAATGTTGCGTCTGACTTCAGCATCAAACAAGATGTTAAGAAAGAGGAGCAGCACGCCGTCGTAGGTACCGAGCCACCAAGTTTCTTCTGAGCTTGTATTTGTGTATCTTCATCCCCGGTTTCAGACTTCTCCTGAGTAGTTCAACGATCACCACTGAGTTTAACAGAAGTTAAAAGGCTGGCAAGTTTTTTTTTGCTCTTTTGTGCTGCTTGATTTTAAGGCCTTAAAATTTCAGAGGAAACAATGTATGTACGTGGATTCTAACACAAAAAAAGTACAGTATCATTGTTACTGATGTTGATCACGTGCTAGGTGCGAGTCATAAGCACTACAAACATACGTTATGTGCTGCATGACTTCCCAGCAGCTACCAATTTCTTCTGCACGCTTCATGTTGTAAAACAGGAGTTGCCCATCTCTCACTCCTCCCCACACCCTTACAGCACTGGGACAGTTTATACCAGATTTTTGTTGCATTGATTATCTTATTTGTAGACTGAAATACAGATAGAGGGGATTTTCTTCTTTCATCTTCAGTCCTTGAAAAAGCAAGAGTGGAGTTTGATTTCTGTATGGCATAAAGATTTTGCTTCAATATTCTTACCTTGACATAGCACAAGAATTAATGGGAAAAGGTTGCTGTAGTATACGCTGCAGTGGAATTTAGATAATACAGAAGGTCATACCTTTACCTGCAGATGGAAAGGTGAATTGGATTACTTGAAGAGTTTCACTTGTATGCTTGAAGTTGAGGAAGCATGTTCAAGGTGGATTTGAGTTTATATTTGATCTCTGAGTTGAACGTCTGTGTAGTAAATAGGCCCTGTGACAA